CCGATGCAAAACGGAAGGAAAACACTAAAGTTATCTGGGTGATGTTTTCAGCGCGTGCGTCCACCGATGAAGCCGCCGCGTATGACGAGGGCAAACATCTGGGCGACTCCATCTTTTTCTACGATGCCCGCACGACAACGAGTATGGAAGAGATGCGGAGATCGCTGCTGGAGCGGTGTTTCCCAGGGGACGGTGTGGGCTCCGGCTGTCTGAGTCTCCTCACGACAGCCGTGACACCCGCCATGCTGGCACTGCCGATGGCCTTCTCTGTCGGTGGCTTGAAGTTCGCCCTTGCATGCATCACTTTCTGTATTGCTATGACCATTATGTCGGTCCGTTTTCTCGCCCTTGCCTCAGCTTCAGCTGCGTCGGACGATTACGAGTCTGTCGCTGGATTCTTCCTCGGAGTGAAAGGGAAGTGGTTCGCACGGTTTGTGCTCTTCTTGTACAATTTCGGAAGCGGTGTTGTCTATCTATGTTTCCTGAAGGATGTCGTTATGAGCATTATCAGCGTGAAAGGAACCTTTCTCCCCATCTGGCTGCAAGGTTCTGTGGGGGGCATTCTCGCTTTTTTGCTTTTTGTGGCATGCGTCACACCTTTCACATTTAACTCCCGCCTAGCGTCGCTTCGGACAATGGGATTTGCTAGCAATATACTGACGACATTCATCATTGTGTCGATCATATACCGCTTATTTGTTCCACTGGGGGATCCCGAAGAGGGGACGGTCGTCGGCGGCGGTAGCACCGAGGTGGCTGTGAAAGAAGGTCAACAAGACCCGGCCCGGTGGGAACTGATATTGCCGTATTTGTTTGCAGCCCCGATTTTTGTCTTCTCATATGAGGTGCAGTCGAACGTCATGGGAGTGATCAAGGATCTGCACGATCGCACGGGAAAGCGCATTTTTGTATGCATATGTTTGGCCCTCACCTTTGCCACCGCGTTTTATCTTCCGCTGGGTATATTCGGCAGCCTCTCTTTCCCTCATATGTCGCAGGGTAATATTCTTGCTCTGTACGATGTGAAACGTGACAATCTTATGTTTGTGTGTCAAGCTTTTTGCTGCTACAGTGCAGCTGTCTCTTTTGTCTTCTGTATGTTTCCTTGCCGTTTCGCGGTGTATATGCTCCTTTCCGATGGGGCATCGTCAAAAGTTCCAAAAAAGTACCGTATTCGAATCGGTGTCGCACTGGCGATTGCAGGCACGTGTTGTGCCATTTTCCTCCCTGATGTTGCAAAGGCAGTCTCTTTGCTTGGTTCATTGTTCAGCTCAACACTCTCGATGACCATGCCGGCAATGTTTGCGTTGAAAATGCGATGGAGTGGGACATACCTCACGTCAACACTGGACGGGTGTCTTAGTTGGTTCTTTTTGTTTCTTGGTGTCTTTATGTCGGCATCGGGAACATTAGTAGCGTTGCTAGATGCCTTGGGCCTTGCACGTCACGTTTGACGTGCCTGCTGCCAAGGGTATTGTGAAGATATATGGTTGAAATACCATGAACGAGTAATGAAAGGGAGTGAAACATGTCTTTTTTTGCAGTTGATGGCCATGTGTTGGTTCTTCCCTGTTCTTTTTTTAATTATATTTTTTTTTCACGGAGTCCTCCATTTGTCCACCATAGTGCATGCTATGCGAGGTTCTGGAGCGCATTGTGACGCAAATCCTGCGGCGGGCGCGTGTTCCACTGACGGCTAAGCGGCTCGCAGATGTGTTGGACGGCGCGGTGTCGGCTGACAACGTGACAGAGGTGTGCATCAAGATGGTTTCAGAGGGTGTGTTGGAGAGATGGGGCGATGACGCATACGCACTGAAGGGCATGAGGCATATTCTGTCCCGCAATCTCCTCATCACGCAGGAATACCAGGCGCTCGGAATGACACTTCTCCGTGTTGCTGAAAAAACGATAGTGCACTACATTCCACGTGAGGCAGAACATCGATTCTTGGAGGTGCGTAAGTCACTGATTGGGAAGAGGGCGGGTCTTGGTCTCTTCCTGCGGTCGTCAAGGGCGTTGCCGCAGGGTGCTGTGATTTGCGAGTACGTTGGTCGTGTGCTGCGCCGCCCGCCGAAGGAGTCGGAGCAGAGCGCCTATGTTGTGAAGCTGCGAACGGCACCGATTTATGTGGACGGTGTGGATGAGAAGGGTGAACACCTTTCGCTGGCGACTTTTATTAATGACAACGGGCCTACAGCTGCCAACGTCGAGATGCGGGAGTACGATATACACGCGGGCCGTGTATTTGTTGTCGCTAACAGAGACCTCCTTCCAGGCGAAGAAGTGCTTTGTACATACGGTTCAAAATACTGGGGCTACTCCTCCTATGCTGAGATCCTGCAGAACCTCAACAACCTGTCTCGGAAGAGGAGGCGTAGTGGTGATGAGGAATCTGATGGGGACGAAGCTGACTTTATGCGGGATTTTGTCTTTCCCTGCAGGCGGTGTGGAGAACAGGTGACCAAACGTCTGATGTCGCTTCATCACCGAACCTGTGGGGACCATCAGGTCACACAAAAGTTGTTGCACTTGAATTGTCTGCCCTTTAATGATTCCACCGCGATGGAAAACAGGAGCAAGGTTCTTCCAGGAGGGCGTCAGCGGGCGTTGCGGCGGGCGAAGCACTTCGTCGACCTGGCGGACCCGCAGACATTTGCCCTTTCTCACGAAGATGTCGTTGGCGATCTCACCTTCTCATGGTCTAGAGCGTAACTGGGCGCAAGGAAGGGGAGAAAAGCGCAGAGAGAGGAAGCAGGGGAAGCAAGCAAAAGAGAAAAGAATACCCTGGCCAATGGAATTGTTGTGAATTCCAAAGGTGAAAAAATGAGAGGTGTCGATACATGAAGGAATACGTACAAATCTCTACGAACTTGATGTTTTATTATTCATTCACCCTTCTTCTTTGCATCTGGGAAGGTAACTTTGATTGCCAGAGAAAAGACTCTTTCATATTTTTAAAAAAAGAGGATTTACGCTTTAAGAACAAACAAAGAGTAGTAAAACAAGAAGACATGCAACAAGGAGGTCGATATGTGACTACTGCTGCGCTTTCGCAGGTACAGAAAGAGGCCGCGAGGGTTTTGGGCTTCACAGGTGGTTTTAGTTCCGGCGTTATGAAGACAGTAGAATTCCTGCCGGAGAAGGTTGCAACGCGGGAAGATGGCACGCTGAGTTTCCCGTGGACGGCGCGGTACGGCGCGCTGAATGGGTTCAAGTCAACCCACGGTGGCGCACTGGCAACCCTCGCTGACGCCTTTACACGTGTCCATTTAGGCGCTGCGGCACCCGGCTCATCGTTATCCTCTGTCAGTTTTGAGATCAGTTATCTTGCCGCCATCGGGGAGAATGTCGAGTGCGCCTGCGTGACGCGTCTCGTCAGCCGGGATGCAGGCAGTCTGGCGTTTATGGACTACTCTTTTGAGGATGAAAAGTCGGGGCAGGTGTTTGCCCGCGGAACGCATGTGCTTTCTTGCAGCAAGTAATACTCTCATCGGAAATGAAAAGGAAAGGGTTAGGGAAAGACTGCGCGTTCCGCGCTAAACTCGTTATTGGTTACCTTCCTTCGGGGGAATGTCAGCGTTGTGCACATTTTGTGTCTTATTTCTTCTATTGTGATAAGGTTATTGCAGAAATAAATGAACGACGTGGAGCTGGGCGAGCTAGTGAGGAAGTTTCAGGCCATTCAGCGCCAGGACGTCCCTAACCAGATTGGCGAACGCAACGTTGTTGAGATCATCAATGTGCTTAGGGGCAAAAATTTTATTGACCTCCTGTACACCGTGGACGGCAAGGAGTATCTTACATGGGTTCAGCTGCGGCGTGAAGTTATTGATGAGATATCGGTGAACGGTGGACGCATGAATGTGGTTGATCTTCCCGGTAGTCTGGGCGTGCATGTCACACACATTGAACGTGTGTTACCGGAGGTTCTTGAGGATCCTACTATCCACATCGAGAATGGTGAACTCATCACCGACGAGTACCTGGACTCAACAATTCGGGCTGCAGCTGATATGCTCAAGGAACGGGGATTCCTTTCAATTGCGGAATTCGCAAAGACATACCGCTTCACATCCCTTTTTGCGCAAGAGCTCTTGACAAGAGCAGTAGAGTCAAGACGGCTAAATGCCGTTCTGGAAGAAAATGCCATGTACACAAAACAGTTTGTGCGCTCGCAAAAAGTTATCTTGCGTGCAGGCCTCATGGCTGCAACGCGGCCCGTCAACCTGGTGACGTTCTTTGAACGGTACAATCTGTTTGTGCCGCTCATGGACCCTATAATTGAAGCTGTGCGCCCCGAATTGCCGGGTCAAATAGATGGACGTATTTATGTGCCAACTCATTTTGAAGTTTCCCGTGCCGAACAAGTAGAAAACATATATCTTTCCAACGGCTACATTGACTACGCATCACTGCACCGACAAGGCATATCCCAGGCGAAGGAGTTCCTCCTAACGCGGTACAACCCTACGCCTAAGCGGATCGCTGTGGAGGCTCCCAAGAGGCGGGGACGCAAGAATAATCAGACGGCCGACACAAGTGCCGAGATGGCGCCTGTGGCTCGAAGTGAGAGCCACCCAAACGCGGGGCACGCACTTTCCAGCTGCTTTGTCGCTGACAGGTTCCTCACTAATCTTGTGGTCCTTGAGGATCTCGCACACGGCGACACGCTGGCGTTGGACCTGACACCGCACTTGCCCCCCGCTGTTGATTATGAGCGAGATATGGGAATTCTGATGAGACGACTGCGCGAGCTGCACCCTATCATTGCCTCCTGTATTCTGCTGGAAGGGGGCGTACTAGTTCATGAATCCGTTCTCTCTACCGTGAAAGAGCGGCTGCGTACTGCCTTCGAAAAAAACCTCAAGGAAGGTGAGAAGAAGAGAGGAAAGAAGGTGCAGGATCGTGTCGCGTTCGGTGACGAACACGAGCACACGCTCCTGCATGTTCTCTCAGAGCTCACAGGCCTCGCCCAGGAGCAGTATCAGCACGCGCTGGAAGAGCTGTCCGCACAATGCAAGGATGAGGCGCGCGAGATTTACGAAGAATTGGCGGCGGCTGTGGAGCAGAATGCGTCGGTAGATCTCAGGCGTATGCGAGCCAAACTCCAGACTTCATTGGGCGCAGCCTGGGTTGATTTAAGCATAGCCGCAAGAGGAGTCGCGTGGGCCGAAGTGCAACTCGATGAGGCTGCAGCCACCGCTGTGAATCGACATTTGCTGGTCCTTCGCGCCTTACCGATGGTGCGGGACATTCTTCTTAACGAGAGTCTCGATGCAGCCGATCTGTATGAACGTGTCCTTGATATTGTGGCAGTGGAAGATGAACAAAAGCAACAGCCAACAGTCGCCACTTTTCAGAAGGCGCTGCGGGCTCTTCCGGATAAATATCGACAGTCACTCTCACCAATTCTGGAAGCACTAAATGGTAAATCTGTTGAAGGCTTCATGAGCCGGCTGCAGACGATGTGCTCCACAGGACAAATTGCTATCTCTGCTTTCCACCAGCCGGGTAAAAAACTGGAAAGAGAGGCTCTTGCGGCGTTAAGAAGGGCTCTGGTGGAACGGATCGAGAGCAGCACCTTTACCGCTGATGCAGTGCACAGCGGTGCTGTGTTTGCGTATGTCTGCAGTCTGCTCATACATACGCACTTCCACGTTTACGTGGAGCTTCCGGGGCGTGCGGTGGGGAGTGCTGTGACGCGCCTCGTCAAGGAAGCAGAGACAGCTGTTGGAGACCTGCAGGACTGCCATCAGCTCATCACAGGAGCCCTTAATGGAAAAGAACTGGGTGAGGAGTCTATTGAAAAACTTGAGCAACTCCGAAAAGTGTCACTGGAAGGAGTATAAAGAAATTTCGGATTCGTTTGATTGCACCCACCAGAAGACGCCAAGTATGGTACGCACAGAGACTCACATAAATACATTTATGTTTTGTTACAGAAAAGCGGTCACGTCCTCTCATTTCTCTCTGTCTTGGATG